CTCCTTTTTTCTCCTTTTCTCCTTTTTTTCTCCTTTTCTCCTTTTTTTCTCCTTTTCTCCTTTTTTTCTCCTTTTCTCCTTTTTTTCTCCTTTTTTTTTCCTTTTTTTTTTTCCTTCTGGAAATTTTCTTTAGCAGGGGAGTGGCTCTTTCCACCAGAACTCGCTCCTTCCCTCCTCCGTGGCCACGTGGAAGCCCTGCTGGGCAGAGGGGCTCTCCGCGAGCGCCCCATCAGCAGCAGTATAAGCCCCGGGCACGGCCATGGGCACGGGGAGCCCCCCGCCTGCCCCCGGCACGGGGAGCTGTGACACGGCTCGGCAGCGTGCGGAAGGGCACAGGGCCTTGGGAACTCTGCCCTTGTTATGTATGAACTCCAGCATCAAGAGGAACCTGCTGCTGGATTCAGAGCATCCACGGGGTTCTGCGTGTTCCGGAGCCTCTGGCTCGTACTATGTGCAATATTGCAGGGATCTCAGGAGGATGTCACGAACTCCCACAGAGATGACAGATAAACTCTAGTGGAAGCCAGGCTTTTTGGCTGGAAGACACTGTCCCGCAGCCAGGCGGCAGCGCTCTGCTCTGGTGCATTTCTCTGTTCTTATCTGTTCCATGCAGCTGTTCACATGCTAGTGCTCGTGTTAAGTGCCTTTGTGAGCAACGCTTCTGTAGGGCTTTGCAAGATCCTCTTGCCYTTCCTGCCCCCTGAAGCTGCTCCTTCCCTGTCTCTGAGCGGGTGGGAAATGCTGCCCTCTTTCATCTTGTCTCGCTTTTCTGCAAGGTGAGTCTGCACTCAAAACRTTTCTGCTCTGGTAATGGATTGTGACAGGAGGTGTACGGTAAATATGCCAAGTGAAAATAAGTCAGTCAAAGTAAAATGGATCAATGGCTCATAGAGGAAAATGGGCKTCTGTCTGACATGACTGCTGCCTTACAGAAACCAGCCCTTGAGGAAGAGGGAGTCTGTGGGACCCACCTTCTGCTAAAGGCGTTTTTGGTAGGTGGCACCTTGACCGTCTGGGTTCCTATAATGCAGTGGTCCGGTTTCCTCTCACACGGTCACTGTGCTTTGATCTTCTGTAGCAGGTTATATTTCTCAAGCTGGGAAATGCAGAAACAGCCCTCTGCAATAGGGAGATGGAGAGGAGTTGCAGAGCTGGTTGCTTTAAGAGGGGTGACTGAACCTATTAAATGTTGCCCTGCAGAGCTGTGCACTACAGCTGGTAGCTGTCCCTACGTGGGCTGCTGCGTGTTATCCCTGAGGAATGGATGGACGGTGCACGGTGCCACAAAATCRCAGAACTGGGGCTGTCCCCTGAGATTCCTCCACATCTGTGCAGCTTGTGCATATGCTCCTTTCTACATGTTCCAATTGAAGGCAAAAACCTTTTTTYCCCCCTGCAGTGATGCATTTTCTCAAGTGGCACCTGCACCTTCTTTAACCCATAACTGAGGAGCAGTTGCACAGGGAACACAGCTATGCAGGAACAGCCACCGAGTCATTCAGTGCCCCTTCCTTCTCCCTTCCTTCTGCCTGGGGAGCAGCCCTGCACGAGAGGCAAAGGGGGCAGCTCTTTCACTGCTTCTCTCTGGCCAAACACAATCAAGAGGCTTTGGGCTGCTTCCCTGGCCCTGGTGAGAGGTAAAAGGTGCTCATTTGGCCTGTGCCAACCATTRCTCTTGCAGCAAAGCGTGACTTGGTGACTGTTTGGAGCCAGAGCCTGGCCCTGGGAGAGTAACTTGACTCCAAGACCCCAGCACCATGTGCATGTTCTGCCAAGATGCCCATCGCACATAAGTGCTTGTGGTGCCTGCTGAGATGAGCTGAGAGCTTGGCAGCCCTGGGGCAGGGATGCTGTGAGGTTGCAAGTTTGTGGTCTTCCCATGCCTCTGTCCTGCTGGCATTGGGAATGTGAGGAGAGTGACCTTGGGGGCTAAACCAGCCCCCGCGGAGGCAGGAGCCAACCTCTCTATGCCCGAGTTAACGCGTGCTGGCGTTAGCCATGGGCCTGTGAGCGGMGCGAGCCCTGGAGGTGTCTCACTTGTTGGAGATGCCCGAGAGACCTGTCTGTCACTATAGCCTTGTCCCTTCCCGTGTGCCTGGCAGGGGAGCCTTCATCCGAGATTCTCACTGCAAGGCCCTCGCAGCGGCAGCACGAGTGGTCCTCAGCGGCAGCACGGGCCCCGAGCGCACACTGGGAACCAAGGGCCTGGGGTTAGTCCAACCTTGCCGTGCCCTGGTCAAGCTCTCTGTAAGAGCACTTCACTCTGCAGGAGTGAAGTGCTGAAGTCTCATCTTTTTACTCTCTCTGGGAGAACTGGAGCCTCCCAGGCCATGAAAATGATGGTTGAGTGGTTGCAAGGCTTTTTTATTTTATTTTTTTCTAGGAGGAGAATCCAGTGCTGATCCCACGCTAAATGGGGAGCTCACGTGCCCATAACTTGTAGAGCAGTGTTGATTCTTTCTCAGGCCACTACTCCTGTTATTCTTGTTTACCCTCCGGCTTCTTCCTGAGAGGATTTCCTTTGTGAATGCCTTGGGAGATGGAAAGCCCAATCTAATGGGGTATGTTACTGTCTCCAAGCTTCAGAGTTATGGAGTTGCACTTCAGATCTCTCCTTTTAATAGCCCTGAGAATTAGCCCTTCAGCACCTCTGAAGGGTAGCACTTCTTTTTTTTAATTTATATTGAAGGTGGGCTGTTCTTGTGATTTCTTGTCCTTCAAAGGGCATTTTTTTTCCCCTGTATATTTTCACATTTTTTTTTCACATTGGTCTGGATATTGGCCACATGGGTAGAAAAATGCTAAACCCCCCAGTGCAGCACAGCTGGGCTGGAGTTGGTTCTTGAGCCTTTTCCCCTGTAGTGCTGCCGTAGGAGCTCCCAGATCCCTGCGCCTGCTGTAGTAGCTCCTGGACCTCGGCTGCTTGTCAGGCTGGAGCAGGTGACCTACAGATGAGGTGTGTGTGGCCTCGAGGCAAGGACTAGTCTTACCTGCAAACCACCACGTGTGTATATGGCAAGTAAAAGAAACTAGTCTAATTCTGGCCCTTTGAAAGTTCTCCCTGTACCAAAAAAGAGGACCTAGAGCAAGGCAGAAGCAAGGGAGGACTTCAGTACTAGCCGGCCTTGGTGTTCCTTCACACAGAGTTGGAAATTACTTCATCCTGCTTTACCTGTGACCTTTTAAAAAGGGATTTGCTGCTTACTACCCATAGGATGGGCTTTTTGTAGAGCAAGGCAGCTCCTAACGGAGTGCAGTTCTGATGTTGCTCTTCTCATGGTCTTGCCAGCAATGCGTGCAGGTGGCAGCCTCCTCTTGTTCCGTGGCAGTGCTAGGGACTGTGCCCCACCTGTGAAGAGCAGCTTGGCGCTCGCTTAGCTCTGTCGTCCGAAGTCTTGCGTTTCTGTAGGCAAGTCGCCGTCCTCGTGTAAGCTTGCTCCGCTTGTGCTCAAGTAACAGAAGTCACTGGTGAGTCCGAGTTGGTGCTTACTCCTAATCACATCGCAGCCTTCACGCGATGATGGTGCTTTTCTTCGAAGTAGGTTGCTTTCAAGTGTCCTAAACCATGTGCTGTAAAACAACTTCTAGAGACTAAGAATTGGTACTGCCTAGTGTCTTACCCACGTACTTCATGACTGACTCCCGTGTGAATGTGCACCGCCTCGTCAAGCCAAGGAGCGTGTATGAGCGTGGATGTGTTTCCCTACGTTGCTTTTGGGGAAGAACTCCTTTCGGTGAAGTTTTCCCAAACTTTCTTCTGCTTACCAGGATGTCTGTACAGCGAAAATCTTGCCTGGAGGCAATGAGCTTMTTTCTGAAATGTGGGAATCTAGCCTCTCAAGATTGCATCTTTATGAAAATCATTTTTAATGATAAAAATGACAAATTGACAAACTCTGGAAGAAGAACCGATACCTTGGACGGGTATGGGGAGCTGGGTGTTTTTTTGTTTTTTGGAGGGGAGTTTAGGGGAAGTGTCCCACGCGAAGCTTCAGGAAGAAAATCAGTATGAAATATGTTTGTGAGCGATATTAAAAGGACTAGCGTGTGTGTGTGTCCATTTTGCATCATATCCAGTGTTTCACAGATGGCGTTACTAAAATAAATTATTAGAAAAGCTCTGTGGAGTGGCCTGTTGATTTGCTCCAGTTGTTGATTACTCCAGCCAGGTCGAATGGCCTTGCTCAGTCAGCTGTGGAGTGTACTTGAGTATAAGGGAGCAA